CAAGTGCAAAATCAAGGATCCGATCCATATCCTGTGTCAGTATCCGTGTCATGTCATGTCGACACGGACACTTCTCCATTTTTGAAGAGTTCGAGCATCATAGATGGAGAGTGGGTGGGTGGATATTGTGTACATGTATCAAATGTTGAATGGTTAATTATACATCCATAGTGTCTTATTACTGGAGACTATTTATTTGTATGTACATGCTCACAAAATTTTCTGTGTCAATGAATAAGGAGAAAAGTTGTGGGTTTCTGCTCAGCAATATGTGCATATTATCCATAAAGCATCATTAACAATAAATTCGTCTGCATTGCTTCAGTAATTTTCCTCTGCACTTTTTTTGCCTTAAAATGTAATATATCAAAGCTGTAAACAATTTTCTCATATCAGTTCTGAATGCTTTATGATGCAGGCCACAGGTAACCATCGCTACGGCAATAATATTTTGTCATCGTTTCTTTCTTCGTCAGTCCCATGTAAAAAATGATAGGAGGGTGAGTTTATCATTTCTTTTCTTCATTTGTTATTTTATCTGTAGCTAAACAATCTCATAGGATGTGGGTACTACTTTAAGGAGAGTGACTTTTGGACTGTTATTATTAATAATGGACTGTAGTCAAATTGTATTAGTAGAATCTACTAGCACAGAAAATGCTATTAAGCTATTTCCCAAGCGCAGGGTTTATGAATTTGGTGGATAGCAACTAGACTTCATGTAAACTGGGTTCTGATTGTTCTGGTATAAAATGAAAATAATTGTCCCGTTAGCCGTGGTCTTTAGTAACTTATGCCCTGATTAGGTCCTTGAGAAATTGCAGAGTTAATGATAAAGCAACATTTATTTAGAGAAAGCCTTGCTGTAGTTTGTGCTAAACTATTTTTAATGTAAACCACCATCCTTTCTGGATTATCAACTTTATCTCGAGTATATAATGCATGCTGTGTACTCTTGGTCTTGCACGTGAACTGAGGAAAATTTCTGGGCTGGAGGTTTGCCATCTCATATTGGATCCCTTGAGTTCTTGTTGAGGACCCTTGTATATATGGCTCTATTCTTAAGCCTGATTTCATTTATTTGAGTGCATTTAGACATATATTTTTTTTCCTTGTATAAGTGCAATGAGCTCTATTTTATTTATTTTTTTTATTTTTTTTATTTTTTTTAATTGCATGTAAAATAAAGCAATCGCCTACATTATCATGCATATTGATACATGTCTGGCTTTTGAAGGAATTGAGAATGCATGTTGAACGCAATACACTGTTCTGTTTTATTTAACTCTTTGGAGAATAGAAGATTACCGTCGTAGATGCACTCATGATTTTGATTTTCTCAGGCTGGTTCTGTGAATGTCTCTTTGAGCATGCCAGTGCTTGTTTGTTTATGTTTCGATAGTTTCTGTGGCATGACTTCTCTATTTACTGGATAGGAAGTTTTAGACGTACCAATATCACATTATCACTACACCAAAACAATAGAGAGGAGGAGAAGAACAAAAAGAATATCTCATACCATGCAAATAACAATAATACTCCAACCAAAAAAGAAACAACTTAAATGCGATCAACTTATTTAGATATGAAGAAGTAAAAACCCAAAGGGTCCGTAGGGTAAAATTGAATATAGCCACAATGTATCTTTGTTTTATCATCTATTACACTGATGATTTTTCTGTTTGCATAATTGATAATTTGGTGCCTGATTTTGCAGACAGTTGCTACAGTATGTATGTTTCTTGCGGGCAAGGTTGAAGAAACTCCTCGTCCTCTGAAAGATGTTATACTAGTCTCCTATGAAATAATTCATAAGAAGGATCCTGCTGCTGTGCAGAGGATCAAGCAAAAGGTGGTGTTACTTTGGCCTCATTTTTTACTCACCTATAGCTAATAATTTCTAATGCATTGCAAATCCATGTGTTATTGGATTTCGTATTTAATATAAGAAACATTGTTACCTCCCTTGCAATCTGGAATGCTATTTATTACAGATTCTCTTCTTGAATTTCTAATAATTGAGCTTGCTCTTGATGGTTTTGTACTTTGATAGTTATTTGATAAACATCTGTCCTTTTGCAGGAGGTATATGAACAACAAAAAGAACTAATTTTGCTGGGAGAGAGGGTTGTTCTTACAACTCTTGGTTTTGATCTCAATTTACTCCATCCATATAAACCCCTTGTCGAGGCGATTAAAAAATTTAAGGTTGCTCAAAATGCATTAGCTCAGGTTGCATGGAATTTTGTTAATGATGGGTATGATATATTGCTTATTATTGTTTTAATATAGAGTCCATCCATGGCCATTCTTCCTCTTCTCTTTTTGACCCGAGAAAGCCGCGTGCAGGCTTCGGACATCTCTCTGCTTACAATTTAAGCCACACCACATTGCAGCAGGTGCTATTTTCCTTGCTGCCAAGTTCCTCAAAGTAAAGCTTCCATCTGATGGTGAGAAGGTTTGGTGGCAGGAGTTTGACGTAACCCCACGCCAATTGGAGGGTCGGTCTCTTTAGTCTGCCTTTGGCAGCAGTATACATATTAGATTTGTGGTGTTGGATAACACCAATATCATTTTTTCATGATTTGGTAGAATTGAGCAAATTTATGAAAATATGGTGCTTTTAATGGAGTTTTTGAGTTTGATCTTTAACTGGAATTTGAAAAAGAAAAAAGAGAAAAGGGGTAGGGTCCAGGATGATATTGTTTATAGGAATTATAACGCACATTTATACTCAAAAATAGTGGGATATATTCCATTTTTGACCAGAGGCATATTTCCTTGCAGAGGTCAGCAATCAGATGTTAGAATTGTATGAACAGAATAGGGTGCCACCTTCTCAGGCTAGTGAAGCGGAAGGAAGTGCTGGTGGCAGTCGACCTCTGCAAAAAGCTCCTGCGAGTGAAGAGCATGTTACTAGTCACAGCAATTCATCAAAGCCAGGAATTTCAGCATCATCAAGGCCAGTTCCTGATCAACAACATGCTGATAATCATGATGGGCAGCCAAGAACAGCTCAGACTCGAAATAATGACTATGGAAGAACCAACATGAATGCCGAAATAAATAGCATTCAGGATCGCAAGGGATATGAGGAGATTGACGACACTTATAACCATGAACGAGAGGTATTACCTCACGAGGGGAATAAGGGGGAGATCCAGAATAAATCAGAATTTGGTTTGGATGGACATGTTCAGGAACATGAAGAAGGAAATGTTGGGAGAACTGAAAGGTGGAATTTGTTGGACCTGAAGGATAAACATCATAGCCGAAATCCAGGCCCTAATGATGGTATGGTTGGCCAGTCACCTCAAGATGCCATAAAAAAGATCGACAGAGAGAAGGTTAAAGCTGCCCTTGAACGGAGGAAGGCCCGTGGAGATGTAACTCGCAAAATGGATCCTGTGGATGAACTCGAAAGAGAACTGGAGGATGTTGAGTTGCCTGGTCAGAATGAGAAGATTAAGCATGACAGAAAACAAATCTGGTTCAAGTCTTCAAATAAGCCAGAGCCCAAGAACTCGCATCATCCGACATATCCAGGCGAGGATAGAGATTTGAATTACCAAGCAACGAAAGGGAAGTTGTCTCATGTTGAAAAATTTGACTCCGTAGAGGAAGGGGAAGTGGGACTATTTGATGATGCCGATCAGGAATACCGGTCACCAAAGTTGAACAATAGAAAGAGGAAGGCTAGTAGTCCCCTGGACAAACACGTAGATGCAAAGCAGCGAAATGATTATAACCATGACTGAACGTGCAAGCTGCTACTTAGAAGGAACGGTGCTTGTTCAGGAGTCAATTATTTGGATGCGTCGCAATATTTGATCTCACCATCCCCCTGGAATTTCCAAAAAATGTGTCGAGTATCCATCTCTAGTGAGTTTATCTAGTACTGTTGGAAATATCTGAAAAAATGAAAAATTACAAAATTAAGTTTTGATAGAGGGACTTCTGATATTGGTCCAGTATTACTTGTTCAATTTTTATTTTTTGTTCTCCTTGTTATGAGATGAACATGATGTCTGTAATTTTATTTGTGCACGTTTCTCATTTTAATTAAAATGACAATTTTTTTTTTTCTGTTGCCTTAGGCACTGCAGTTTCTCTTTTGTTACTTTTTATAATCTTTGATGCCCTCTACTTAGTACCATCCATCTGCTAGATTTATATTCTGTTATTCTTTTTCCGATGCCAATTTCTCGTGTTCAAGAGGTTTTATTGCATATGTTAATTTTATTCCTAACTAAACATGGTTGAATACTTGAATCAAACACATATTTCGAAAAGACCTTTAGTTGGCAGCAATTTATTGAAATAATGATTACATTATTATGTAACAAAGTTCTTGAAAACAGACTCAAGCATTTGCTGCCCAATTACGACATCACTTCTCTTTCACTTTGCATCTAGAAACACACCATCCTCACATATTTTTTGACGGAGATCAACAACTCAAACGAACTGATCGAGGTACTCCTCCACGGTAGTGTATTTGACGTCTGGATAGAGCTCGGATGCCTCGACTCCAAATGATGGCTCAATCTCAAAATAGGTTTGATCACCCTTCATGAAAATTGAATGGTTGATGGCCAGCATAAAATCAATTGGTGATGGAGATTCTGCTTCATAATTGAGACAGTAAGATTCAATAAACAATCCTCGTAAGACGATACTCTATTCACTACTTTATTCCTTGTTAACGATCTATTCAATTATAAGATAAAATTGATAACAAAGTCCATAAATTTCACAAGGTATGTGAAGCGAAAAGAATTACTTACCTTGGATCTGTTTCAGAAGTTCTTCCTCTTGAACATGGACTTTCTCGATATTTTTTCCAATCTTCTTCTCCCATAAAGCTACTAGCTCATTGAACGTATACACATTTTTAGGAGGCTTGATATAGAGGATCTTGTTCAGTGTTCTCGGATCATCCACGGATTGGATGGTATAAGTGCCAATGTCTCGTTCGTCATTGAAGACACCTTCAAATTAAGACAACATACTAAACCTATAAATTTAGAGTCGAAGCAAATCATAGCGTGGGTGTCACATCCTTCCTTAGACATTGCCATGAACGAAGACAAGTACACTTTATTGAAAGATAACTTGAAGTAAATCTATAAGTGTAAAGTTTGTCGTGTTCGACTACCATGTTTTGCATGCTAGACTTATATTAGCAATGAAAATTTCCACGGCCACCAGCCTATCCCATGTCGGCCATGTAGTTAAAATGGCTACAACCCATTTTACACCTCTAAATCTTATCAAAGCTCATTATTCCACAAACTCGGAAAAAAATAAATAAATAAATAATCGTAGGGATTCATGGAAGCATAGAGAATTTGATACATACCTTTGGTATTGCCATCTCCTGGAATGGTAACTTTATCTCTAGGTGGGGCAGTGGCTGTAGGCTGCAACAGTATTGCAAGTGAATAACCAGCAAATGAATTCGACGAAACAAAGGTGTGAGGAATTCCTTCTGCCTCTATAGCTCTTCGGATTTTGGCTTTAACCGCAAAATTACTCGACTTCACTGGCTCAACTGCATGAGCACGATCCACATCATTTCCGAACTCCGAAGGGAAAAATCTCTGGCGGTGCAGGAAAAAGTAATATCACTAGGAAGCACACTCAAAACCTCTATAACGACTTAAACTTTTAGACGAAATGAATAACATTGAAATAGCTGGGGTGCATACCAACCTTAATATTTCCAGCTTGTTTAATTGCATCGATGATCTTCACTTGATCGGCCAACTGATTTTGTCCCACTGCAGATATAACTATATCCACTTTCTTTATAGCCTTCACCAAGCTCTCATGATCATATAAATCTCCCTGTAATTTTCACAATACAATTCTGATAAAAACGCACACACTGAGATCTAAATATGGATCCAGAAAAATGAATATATACATACAGTTAATATGGTTACACCAGAGTTTTTGAATCCCACAATGAGTTTTCCCTTAGCAGGATCAGAAATTGTGCTCTCTCTGAACAAAGCAAAGGTCGGATGCCCAGATTTTGCACTTGCTTCAACTATGAATTTTCCTATATAACCAGTTCCTCCAATGATCAAAATCTTGCTTTTTTCAGCCATTTTTCGAGAATTTTTCTTCGAACTTTGGAGCGGAAATAGGTGTTAAGGTGTCTTCTGTTGAATCAATGATTTCAACTGGGATCACCATTTATAGTCAAAACCAGCATCGTATGTGACTAATAGCATGTTTGACACCATACTTACCGTCCAGATACATACTTAAAAAGGCCTTTTTAACTGGGCAATATTCTCAATTCCTTAAAATGTGAATGCTCTTTTGAAATTTAGAAAAATTGATTTGCTCGTTTTAATTTAGTTCGCTTCGTTATTATATAAAGACTTTCAGTTCTATCTTTTAAATGTTAGCTCTGTTAAAAGTAACTCGATCTTTTATATATATTTTTCTATTATTTCGATATTTAATTAAAATCAAACGTTACCCGACTTAACTTGGACACGTCTACCATTATTGCAAAATGAATTGAGTCAAGAATTGACCGTCGTTCAAAAGAATGTGATCTATGAGTGGACCCCATTAACGGTTCTTCTAGATTTTTAATGTTGTTCAACTTTCCAAGTCTCAATTAGCAGCGCTTAATTGTCAAACGGTGTCCATTTTTGGGTGTTTCTAAAATATAAATTTTAGGCGTTCACGAGGGATTTGATTTGGAATGATGTTTAGTAGCGATTTTTAAAGTAGTTCAATTCATGTTTAAGATTTTGCTACTCAACGATTTTAAAAGAATAAAATTATATATATGTTCCTTTGGTAAAATTTTCAATTTATAATTTATTATATGAAATTTTTTACTCGTAAGATATTTTACTTATCAGTAATTTTTTACAAGTTATTATTAATTTAAACACTGAAATATTTACTAATAATTAACTATTAAGTTATAAATATATTTTATTTTTATTTTTTTTTAAAAAAATTTACAATTAGTTTCGATTTCTCAAAGGGCAAAAGATTGAATTCATTCTTCCTCGCCAGTCGCCAGGTACGCAAGCTTTGCTTCTTATTGGCTGTGCCACCGAAGGCGTCTTTGCTATACCAGCAGCCATGGCCATATATACATAATAAAAAATAGGGTAATTGCCACAAAATGTCTCTACCTTTACGGTTTATTGTGAAAAACGTCCTAACCTTTCATTTTTTGACATTTTTGCTCTTATTTCCACATTTTTTTGCGGAAAACGTCATTTTCACCCTTTTTTTAATGTAAAATGATCAAAATACCCTCACATTTAAATAAAACCCAAAAATAAAAATAAATAAAAATAAAGAATAAATTACAATCTTACTCCTAAATACTTTAAAAAGTGCAAGTGAGTCCAAATAATTATTAAAAGACCTAATAGCACAAAACGTCTCTACGTTTGGTCTATAGTGTGAAAAACATCTCTATGTTTCAAATTAGTGAAAGTGATGTTTTCCACAATGAAACGTGAAAATAGGGATGAAAACACAAAAAAATTGAAAAGTTGGGACTTTTTTTACAAAAAGTGTCAAACGTATGATTTTTTTGCTATTAGACCTTATTAAAATATTAAAACTAACAAAAACTCTCTCTCTCTCTCTCTCTCTCGTCTCTTCTTTTCCAAATGGGCCAACTACCTTGAAAGCCAAAAAACTCCAACAAACCATAATCCAAACTGCTGGACTACCATACCATCGAAAAGCCTCACTTCCTTCTACACATATCACCCAACATTCAATCTTGAAACATTCATACAAATAGATTTGTTAGGAATTGCGAGCCAAAATACCCAACTCGCGAATGTAAATACTGGTGGCATTACCTATTTCGGAGAGACCCATGTCATTTCAACACACCAATCGATTATACTCACTAGGGGGCCTCTCTTCATGGTTTTAAAATATCAACAGATGGTTCAGCGGTATGAAGGTTCGACGGTTGGGCGATGGTTAGTCGAAGTTTTTTCACTTCTAATGTAACAGTCTCATTTGAAAAAGAAGAGAAGAAAGAGATGGTTTTTTTTTAATATTTTAATAAGGCTTAATAGCCAAAAAAAAAAAAAAAAAAAAAACATACGTTTGACACTTTTTGCGA